TAGTAGCTCATTCCTTTTGAGGGAAGGCAGGAATACAGGGTATATGGAAGCATTGCATTTACACAGTGGAAGTTATGTAGCCACAAGAGATTTAATGGTACTCTCATCAAGAGAAATTTGTAAGAACTTTGTATCATGGACAGGAAGTCCTTTGCTCGCCATTAAGCCTTGTTGTCTAGCCGGTAGGCAGTTTGGTGGAAGTGATTGGTGTACTTCTTGGGCTGGAGGAGTGAAAGGTCAGCAGAGGCTTAAATGAGCTTGTCTTACATCCAGCTGGGCCAGCAGGAGGTCATTAGGAAGATCCGAGGCTCATGGTAGGCTTGACAGAGTCTCTCCCCATGATACAAGGAGGCCGTTTTGCTCACTGCTCTTCTCCCAGGATATAAAAAGAACCCCAGAGACAGGAATGACACCGAAGTTTATCTTACTACCAAAGTTTTGCTCAAGGAGGACACAACTAGCAATTACTCAGAAGGGGAAATTTATTTTGTTTGCCTTTGATAGAAAGTAATGGAGATAAGTACAAAAGACCTATTGATCTCCTGGCTGTATTGTGAAACCAAAAAGAGTAACAGAGGGGGAAAAAAAAGTCTTCCTTTAAAAGTCAGAGGACCCATGCGGCTTTACCTTTTAAAAGAATTCTGGTAAAGGAGAGCTGCAGTTTGGGTGGCAAAAAATATAGGAAATGAAAAAGCTGATGCCTTAAAGTGTTCTCTTCTCATACTTGGAGAAGATTAACACACTGTTTGACAGCTAATTGTATTAGGGCAAATACACTAATGGTTATCTTAAATTGGTGCTAAGTGGCTCATTTCTTGGCGGTATTGCCTGGTGAAATCATATGCACTTATTGAAAATCTCTCTTTGGAAACTTACAGAGAACTTTTCTAAGCACAGAATGATGGGAAAAATGGATGTCGCTGCTGGGAAGGTGATAGCAGGAGGCAGGTAGCATGTTTTCGCATCTTCACCTCTGCTGTTAATGTATGCAGTGACTCGTCAGAGGTAGCTTATGTTAATTTATTCCTGCACACCTGTACAGGGCTGGAAGTCAGGTAATCAAACTAGCAAAAACTATACATCTCTGCTTTTTAGCTACAGCTACCCAGAGGCCTATATAGGAACAAATTTAGTTCTGGAGACATCAGCAGGTTTTAATAAACCAAATACAGATGTCTTACTTCATACAAATCAAGAAGTTTACATGTTTAAATCTGGACGGATTTAAGTAGCAATCAAAGAGAAGGTTTCCACTTGGCACCAATGGTTGCCTCATATTTATTTATAAATCACCCTAAGCAAATATTATTTTGTTTCTAAATTTATTCATGGGGCTGAATCACCTTTCCTACACCTTGAAGATCAAACATAATGCTTACCTTTCTGATAAAATTCAAGACAAACTGTAGCAATGAGTGGCCACTATTCTCAGAGGGAAGAGAGGAACAAAGACAGTAAAATGCATGTTAAGATGAAAAAACAAACAGATTAAATATTTCTTTCTATGCAGACCATCTAGTTTCTGTGGACAAAGTCTTCATTATAGTTGAGGGAGTTTTAAAACAGCCAATCACTGAAACAGATATAAATAGATTTTTAACATACTAGCAAATGATAAGGAATCCAGCAGAAGAGGACACAGGGGTTTTTATTTTTTCAAATAAAAAACAAATGTAATTTATAAATGGGATTCCCTAATACACAGATGATCCATGGCCACTCAGCCCTCCTGGGGATCAAAATACCAGACAGAGGATGAGAAATGACCAAAGAAAGCCAGGGCCAACCAATTCTATGATACTCTTCAAGAAAATGTCCTTAATGAAGACTGTAGGTTCTAGCCCAGTTAGAATTCTCCTTCCCAGGGAGTATTTTCATAGGTATACTTCAAAACCTAGTGTCAGCTTTGCTGTTCCCTAACAGAAGAGCATCTTAGCAGAAAAATCAAGGGACAAACAAGAAAGAAGTACAGGTGTCTAGTGACTGTTGGGTGTAACACTACGCACTCCTATCAGTATTCACTTAAGTATCAGCCATCGCCTTATAGTTCTGTGGTTCTTTACAGGGAAAGTAATTTACATTGTGCTTCTAAAACTCAGAATAAAAATTACCCTGACAGCCACCTAGTGAGTGACCAGACGAATTGGAGTTTGTGCACATTAGCTTGCTGTGTGTCATTAGTATGGAATGGCCCTCCTTGCTTTCAAATTTATTAAACTCACACTCATTCACAAACGCATAGAAAGGACACTTCTGATACTTAGAATCTTCAGCCCTCACAAACCTTGCTTGTGCCCCACTGTCTCTCTCATGTCCCTTTTGGCGACTTCACACAAAGAATATTGTTTTCAAAAAGCCTTCAATCTGATCTTACAAGACCTAGAAAGATGCTAAGCGAAGACTTGGACAACTCTGCTAACTAGCTGCCAAATGTAACACACAGCATTTACCATCTTTCTACTTCCATCCTGCTGACTCCTTGTCTGAGACCAAACATACAACTCCCTCAAATACAACCATCTTGGAAGAAGCCGAGGAAGACCTGCTTCTCACTCCTGTAAGGTGTTCTAAGCCCAAAGACAAGAAGGCTGCTTTCATAAATAGAAGGAAGAGGGTTTATTCTGTTAGTTTTATCATAGGTAAACCCCTTGCATACTTCAACCCCAACTCAAAATGCCTTCTAATGCTGTTTGCACAAGGAAGATGTTGTAGGGTCCAGGATGGATGAATTGAGACTCTGGGGAGAGGAGAGAAATGGACGCAAGGACAGCAGGATTAAAGACAAAGGAGGATTTCTGTTTGGGAAGGTGTGTTGGCTCAGAGAAAGGTAAGAAAACTTAGCCTAGCTTCATAGTAAATTGAAGAGGGAAAAAGCGGGGACATAAAATTCCTGGAGTTCTTGTGACTGAAACAGTAAAAGTGCAGAGACAAGGGAAGAGAAGTCTACTGGGTAGATTTGAGATGCGAGGCAGAGGCTTTGTGAATAAGGAGATCAAATTACAGGTCAACATTCGTTGATGACAATGAAACAGGGGTACAATTATAATACGGTTATGTTTCCTGAGATGCAGAAGAGGATGGTATTCAATGGCATCCCTGCTTTTCCTTATTTGGTGGTAGCCATGCTCACATATTAACTCAAGTCACAGGCTCAACAAGGATGAACACACTTCTTATTTAAAAAAAGTTGAAGTATCAAAGTTTCTGCTAAGTGTTTAAAAGATTTGAGGACTCTTGAAAAGCGAAGTTTCAAGTGAGAATCAGAAGACTTTCTTGTATAGTACTTTTTTTTTCCAATTTGCTTTTTATTGTGTGTGACAAAATTCCAGAATTAAAAAGATTTGGCGTGACATGCTATTTCACCCATATGAAATGTAATCACCTGTCTTCTGGGGTTTGCAATCTCTTGGGAGACTGAACATACGTGGGAGAATATCTGTATTGTGCTTCCCACCTGGAATATCCTATATCCTAGTTATGCTGGGCAGTGGTCTCAACTTGTATATGGATGGTCACCCATGGAACGCTCAATCCTTAGAATAAAATTAGAGACTGAAATATTCTGCTGCTATCAGTAAATGTTTTTCCTCAGACAAACCACCCTCTCCACAGTACTTCCTTACAGTGGGGCATAAAAACAGCGCTTGTGTTTTCTAGTGGCTTGATGTAAATGAAAGCACCAAGCTTTGGGTGTTGTAGCCTTTGGTCCCAGAGCCATTTATTTGAGTGTTATGACTTGCAGTATTTTCAGCAAACCAACTAAAACTGTGATAGGAATTCATGCAAATAAGCTTAAATTTTGGCTTGTCTTCAAACACTCCATTTCCATAAATATTTTATGCAGTTTTTCATGAGTCTTTTATTTTTGTTAAAAAAAAATCCAATGCATTAACCTCATTATCACAAGTGCACTATTTCAAATGTAAAAGAATGAATATTACTTACAAACGTGGGGGGGATGGATATCGTACTATATTTTATTATTCAAAGTCTAGCTATCTTAACTGCTGTATTTTGGGACTGTCAATGATAACTTGGAACTGAAAAAAACTCTGTGACCATAAAACATTTTTACAGAACAAGGTAAATGGAGTTGGGGGGAGGGAATTTTTTAAGATAGATTTCTCTTCAGAGCATGTTTTGAATTGTATGAAGAAAGCCACTGAATTTTTTCTCAGAGATTTTGCTTTTCATGCATTGGGTCCCTTGTATTTTAGTAGAAAGGAAAAGTATTTTCTTCTTTTATTTTTAAGAAGACTGAACTTTTAAATATGGATAAAAACATTCCAGAGGCAGATCACTACTTTTCAGTGTACTTCTATTATATGTTACTTTATCAAACAACTCTACCCATCAGGGAAACACTAGCATTTGGGTGGTAGCTATTTGGGAACTTCCTAGTTAATACTGTTTCTTCTACATATATTGATTTTTACCATGTAAAAAATTTTTTCCAGATACATTATTAAAAGACAATGTAAAACCAAAAACTGCATTTGTATATGGGATGAACTAACTGTGTGACTCTAGTTAGGCTGGTGTATAATACTCTGCTCATAAGCTTATCTCCACAAGAGGAGGACAACTTTGTTACTCCACCAGTGACCACCTTAACACATTCCTTTTATATTACATTTTCTTTAAGATTGAAAAAGAACACTGTAGGTTTAGGACCAGCTGCTTCTGTTTAAGCCCAACTGTTTCAGAGCCACAGCTACATACCTAAGGTGTGATGTCATCTGAAGGCTGGACATAATATATTCTAACTGATCCTCAAAGTATATGCATGCCTCCCCTTCTATGCATAATTCCCATGACAGACTATATTTTAGAGATGGGCTCAAAGACATTGTGAAGTTGAAGTAACCCACAATCGTCATAACATTTCCCCGTATCAACAATTACTTTGGTCCCCTTTTCTTCCGATGTATCTACAACTCTTAAAGAATTCATGGATACACTAAATACTCATGTAAGAACGATAACATTTCTGGTTATACCTACGCAGATGCAGGCTGTCTCGATGTCCTGGACCTATGGTTCTTTCCATCCGTAAATTTCTGTTTCTATATTGGATAAATACGTGTGTATGAAGATAATATATTGATTTAATTATAAAGCCACAAGGCAAAGCAGAAATATATATAACGGAAGCTGCAGCTTCTAAGTGAAGGTTCATGGGAAAGCAGGGAACTGTGTACACAGTTAACTTATTCACACCCAGATGCATGGAAACACACATACACACACACACAGCACAGAGAAAAATGGCGTGCATTACTGAGTAAGATGGCGTATGATTCTGCATGCTTAATCAGAACAAGCACCGACTGCAACAATCCTTCACAACAATCCAGCATGGCAGCCTGGGGGTCACGCGGTCACTGTGGACAATCCTTACAGTGCATCGAAAACATCTAAGTTGGATTTTTTTTTAATGTGTCAAGTCCACCATGACTGGCACCCTCCACCCCCCAGCAGGAGCAGCCAATGGAGATTTACTGACCTGTCTCTGCTTCGGCGAGAGGGGAAGGCAGCATTGCAGCCGGCCACGGTGCAGACATGCATCTCTTTCAAGTGAACGTTTCTGTAGTGAAGCTTCACGCTGTAGGAGCTTTTGAAACTCTTCTTGCACACATAACAGATTTTAGGGTCTGGGCTAGAACACAGGTCCCCTTCTGGGGAGAACTTCTGAGGGCTGCCGTAATTCAGGGACGATGTAAAACTCTCATGCAGGGCTGCCATGCTGGCACCCCCACCGTTGTACAGTCCGTACTGGCTCATGTAAAACATGTCGTAAGTGGGATCTGTAAACTCCTCCTTCACCTTGATGACATCCTGGTGAGAGGGCTCACTGTGGTTCTCGTCCGGCCTCTCACTGTTCATCAGGACTTTCTCGCTCACTTCACTGTGCATATGCTCATCCCCCTCCATGGATTCCTCACCGAGTTTGGGCTCCGAAGACTCAGACTCATTCTCATAGTCCCGCTCAGGTTCTTGGTCCTCAGAAGTCATGCTGTCAGCCCTTCTTATTTCTGTCCTTGAAATGCACCGGGTCCTGCTATGCTTAGAAAAGTCCTTCACAGACATGCCCGGACTCATCTCCTCCTGGGAGTGGCAGTGATTGTCATGGCTCCCATCATTGACCACAGGCCCGCTGTCATTGGGGTCGTCATCTTCATCATCAAACTCATCGGCGGTATCGATAATTTCCTTCTCGATCTTCACAGGCATGCTGGACTTCCTGGGCTTCTTCTTGGGCGCCAGGTCGGCACTGGGCTCATGAGTGGCCATCATCACTACTGGCGCTGCTGGCTCAGAGGGGGGTGGGGGGTGCTGCTCTATGGTACCACTGGTTGGGATGATGGGACTGGTCGGGAGGGAGGTCGGAGGACTCACCATTTCCCCTGGAGTGAGTAAACTTCTATAAAATGGAGGAACTGGTTGGACAGTCTTTAGCCCAGAGAACACCAGCTGGCTAGGGAGAGGGTTCTGTAAGACGGGGTCTAGTGGGGGAGTGGTAAAACCCATTGGGGGCCGGCCAGGGCTTGTGAGTGTGAGATTGGATTTTGTACTTGCTATGACGGGGGTGGCAGCCCCGGACGTGGCCCGGATTAAATCTTTGTCTCGGTTATTCCTTAGCATAGGCATGTGAAGGCGAGGGTTAGGGTTCGCACTGTGGCGGTTACGGCTGCGAAGGGAGCTAAAGACCATATTGCAGCCTTCAATGGTGCACCGATGTTTGATCTTCAGGTGAACCGCGTTATAATGGATTTTGAGAGTACCTTTGTCATAGAACGTCTTCCCACACGCGTTACAGAACACTCTTCCCTTCCGGGAGGCTGACCCCATCCTTCTCATCCTGTGGATCCGGAATGAGCTCTTCGGGTGTTCAGTTTTGGACAGGTCACTGACTGGGGCGGAATTCTGAATGGGGGACACGCAGGCTGGCTCGGTTTTGGGCTCCACGTTAGTGATGCTGGTCAGGGCATTTCTGTTGGGTGTTTGATCGTTCTTGTAGGGCGTGGGGGAGACTTCAGACTCACTGCTCTCATTATATTCATTCTGGGTCGAAAGGCTGGGCTCCCGCAGCCTCAGTCCTGGTTGCTCTAATAGCAGCCCGTTTGGAGGCAATCCTAGCAGCGGGGCTGAGACCGGGTTTATGTACTGGAATGGCAGCAGGAAGGCGAGGCTGTTGGGGATGTTTTCGAAGTGATGAATGCTGGAAGGGTTGCTGTTCTCTAGATGGGCGAGGAGACTGGGACTCCTGGTGCGATTATTGCTCTCAATGAAAGTTCTGATGTCTGAGTCTGTCTTTGAAGACGGTACAGCTACGGCCTGCCCTTCCTTCTCCTGAATCGCCATCAGCTCCACGATGGATTTGGTTTCTCCGAACCGCAGAAACTGCTGAAGGGTGATGATTTCCTCTTCTCGAGACATGATGGCCCAGCGGTCAAGCACCTTGCCAGCAGCATCCTGGAGGCCACACCAAAGAAACGACAAAGACAAACACAGAAACTTATTGATTGTGCATAATTATTCAGTGCAGCTGAAGGTGCTGTCTGCTCCTGGAACACCGCGAGCAAGAGCAGAAAACCGCATGCAAGCTCTGTTAATACACGTTGATCCATAAAGCAAACTTTTCTGCCATGCAAATGCAGTCATTAGAGTCACAGTTAGAGAAACAGATTGAGTTTAATAATGTCAAAGCAAACAAAACGTAGACCACTCTGGGGGCTCTGTGATCTAAAATGCCTATGCTACTGCTACTTGTAACAACAATGGTCTGTAGACTATGCAAGTATTTAGCATATATTAGTACAAGACGTGAACTCTTGCTGTGCAATCCAGTGTATGCAAAAACAAAACAAAACATGGTACCTTAATCTTTATCAAATAGTGACACCACAGGAAGGAATTAGGTACATTTTTCAAATTTTATTTCATTAACACAATCAGACATGACACTGGATTCAATGATGAAACTTCCTTTAAATAGGAGCTATTATCTGAATTTCTAAATCACGAAGATGAATGAAGTAGCATCACCCCCATATTCACATTGCTATATTTCTCCCTTTTTAAGTGGCTGAATTTTAGTGTCACGTTACAGTAGGCAATTTCGTAAGGTAGAGTAAGGAAACACAGTAATTGTACTTTTTCTGAAAATTGGTTGTAATTCTATGATTCAAAGTTTGAGTTAAGAGTATTTGAATTTTTATGATCTTGTTATAAATGACAGTTATAGATATTCAGAAAGTAAACATGTGATGGATTTAGATAGAATAAATGTGTAAAAATATTGTCTCTTAACATCCTGCTCTGATAGTAGAGTGTGTCCACAGAGAATACACATCAGTAATCACCAGACTATGTGTTGTTAAATATACATTAAAAAGCATTTCACACTTTCATTTTTGCTAGTAAGTATGAGATATGCCTGGAGGTAGGACTTAAAAATCCTGCAATGTAATGTCAGGCAATCCATTTCAGTATGGATTGAGAAAAACCTATTCAAACACTTAAATAATGACTCCATCATCTACTAGGGCACAGCTCCTTCCCACCAGGACAGAACACTCGGCAACCCTCTGTGAACAGCACTTGTTCCAACCCCTGAAAGTCAATTTATGAAGCACAAAATCATCTTATAAATACAAGACAAGTGCCTTATTAATTACAAAGAGGAAAATCATAACATTATAAGGGAGAATCCTAGCAGACACCACCTTAACCAACTTGCCTAAATGAAGGATCATCATGGACCTTGTGATCTATATACTGAGAAGGACACACTGTGGTTTCTGTGGCATGCTTGCCAAAAAAAATGCATACCTCAATCTAATTATGAAAAAACATCAGATAAACCAAAATTAAAAGGTGTTCTGCAAAACAGCCGCAAGTATTCTTCCAAATGTAAATGTCGGGAAAGATTTTTTAAAAAGTCAAAGACCAAAGATTGGTTAGAGATTAGAGGAGACCAAGACAAGACAAATGAACTTAAGATTCTAGGGATCCTAGACCAGAAAAAGAACATTTGTGGGAATACTGGTAAAATTTCAGGAAAGTCTCTTGATTAGTGAACAGCATGGTATCAATCCTAATTTCTCGGTTTTAACAACTGTACTATGCATATGTAAGATGTTACATCAGGGCAAACAGGATAAAGGGAACTGTACTATTTTTGCAAGAGAGAATTCTCTCTCATAGACAGTTCTACTCAGCCCTGTGATGTGAAATTCTCTCTGGACCACAACTGTATGGTCTGAATCACATCACCTAATTTGATATTAAGGTGATACTAGTCATTTATTTAAATTACTTAAAAAAGAAGCTCTAATAGTTATAAGCCATTCCTTATAAGGCTCATTTCTGGCATTCTATCCTTTTATATGTGTGTTAGAGTCTAGTACTACCTGACCTGTCTCTTGAAAAATCTGTATGCAGATCAGGAAGCAATAGTTAGAACTGGACATGGAAAAACAGACTGCTTCCAAATTGGGCAAAGAGTATGTCAAGCCTGTATATTGTCACCCTGCTTATTTAACTTATATGCAGAGTACATCATGGGAAACGCTGGGCTGGAGGAAGCACAAGCTGGAATCAAGATTGCCGGGAGAAATATCAATAACCTCAGATATGCAGATGACACCACCCTTGTGGCAGAAAGTGAAGAACTAAAGAGCCTCTTGATGAAAGAGGACACTGAAAAAGTTGGTTTAAAATTCAACACTCAAAAAACTAAGATCATGGCATCTGGTCCCATCACTACATGGCAAATAGATGGGGAAACGAAATAGAGACTATTGTTTGGGGGCTCCAAAATCACTGCAGATGGTGACTTCAGCCATGAAATTAAAAGAAGCCTGCTCCTTGGAAGAAAAGTTATGACCAACCTAGACAGCATATTAAAAAGCAGAGGCATTACTTTGCAAAGAAAGGTCCAGCTAGTCAAAGCTATGGTTTTTCCAGTAGTCAGGTATGGATGCGAGAGTTGGACTATAAAGAAAGCTGAGCACCGAAGAATTGATGCCTTTGAACTGTGGTGTTGGAGAAGACTTTTGAGAGACCCTTGAAACAGCATGGAGGTCCAACCAGTCCATCCTAAAGGAAATCAGTCCTAAATGTTCACTGGAAGGACTGATGCTGAAGCTGAACTCCAGTATTTTGGCCACCTGATGCGAAAAGCTGACTCATCTGAAAATACCCTGATGCTGGGAAAAATTGGAAGATGCAAGGAAAAGGGGACAACAGAGGATGAGATGGTTGGATGGCATCACTGACTCAATGGATATGAGTTTGGGTAAACTCCGGGAGTTGGTGATGGACAGGGAGGCCTGGCGTGCTGCAGTCCTTGGGGTGGCAAAGAGTCGGACATGACTGAGTGACTGAGCAACTGAACTGAACTACGTAAACTGGCAAATACGGATGTCCCTCCCTCATTTGCAGGAGAAACTAGCCTTCAGACTAAACATTCTCATGCAGTTCTCTGTTCACAATAGTCATACCATGATATGTCGACACAGTGACTGACTGGATAATCCCGGAGTTGTGAAGTAGCTGCTTTTTAAAAAGTATCACTTGTAGCAATGGTCTCCCTTACATCCTTTTTTGGGACAGAGAAGTAGAGGAGACTGTTGGCATTGTAAATAAGCAGAGAAATAAATTGTGATTTTACAGAGATTATCTCATTTGAGTCTTATAATAGCTTCCAGAGCTCAGCAAATGTTTAACAGATGAGATACCAGAGGTATGACTGCTTAAGGTTGCGAAGATGCTAACCGGGGTCCAGGACTTGAATCTAGAAATTCTGACTCCAGGTTCACTGAACTGGCCATGAGGCCATTTCGAAGAAGACAATGGCAACCCACTCCAGTATGCTTGCCTGGAAAATCCCATGGACGGAGGAGCCTGGTGGGCTGCAGTCCATGGAGTTGAGAAGAGTCAGACATGACTGAGTGGTTTCACTTTCACTTTTCACTTCCATGCATTGGAGAAGGAAATGGCAGCCCACTCCACTGTTCTTGCCTGGAGAATCCCAGGGACAGTGGAACCTGGTACGCTGCCGTCCATGGGGTCACACAGACTCGGACACAACTTATGCAAGTTAGCAGCAGCAGCAGCATGAGGCCATTTCCCAGGTGGGCACGCTGAATCTGTGATAACAAGGAGCAAGACCTCTCCTGAACAAGGCTGGCCTCCAGATCACTGTCATGTCCTCTTCTGCAGCATTTTTCCTTTACTATCAAATCCATTTTCTTGATTAGTCTTTTTATGAAAGCGTTCACTGTGGAAACTCAATCTGAATGGTGCACAGCCATTTTTACCTCAGGTTCTTCCCAGGTAGCCTGCACCTAAATCTGCATGTTGATACTGGAGTTACAGAGTTGGCAGCCCCTGATATTACAATAGGCCTCAGAAACCATAGCAACTGATCAAACGCACCTGAGGCATCTCCTTTCCGTCACCCTTCTGTCTTCCCTCCCCTAACAGTACACAGCAGTCCCATACGGTTTCTCTTTTCTCCTGGCCTGCCACGAATGCCTGCTGCTATTTCTAAATCTACTGCCTTTCAGATTCCTTTTTAGTCCTGAGTGGCTGTCTCCACTGAAATGGAGACTGCTATGTTAAACTACTTACTTCCGGTGGAAGAGGTCCAGGCAAGCAAGGTTTAGAACTTTGCTGGTTGCCTGAATGATAAAAGAGAAGCTTTATTTATCATGGTAACAGAAGCATCCATTTATATTTACCTAGAAGGACAACATAGTATCTTTGTAAACGAATGTGCCTGGGGAGAGGTCAAATATCTACATGACATACTCCAACTAGACTCCTCCTGACAGGGTACCCTCTGGATCCAGGCAATGTGAAGTTGTTTCCAAAGAAGCCATCATTCATCAAGACCATCTAAAGACCATCCCTTTCATAAATAGGAAACTGCAACAAGAAACAAAGTTGACTGTCTCATGTAATAGAATGGGTCTGAAAGCTCAATGCAAGGAATGAATATCAGCTTTAGCATATCCTTGGGTTAAAGTACTTGAAGGGAGTTAGAAATCATCAAAGGAAAACAAGGGAGGCCCAGGTTTTTTGCCTGGAGATCTTTGTGACAGAAGTAATCAGGATCTGGTGCAGTGATTCTTAAACCATGGCTTATGACTCCTCTGTTAAGACTTTCCATGAGTGGCCTATATGCTATCAAAAAGAACCAGTCGGCAAGGAATTGAGAATAGCTATCTGGTAACTTTCAGGACAATGTGACACTGCTGTACAATGAAAGATATGGTCATTTCTTTTTAAATTAACTGATTTTTACTTTATTTAACTTAAGTATTGGCTCAAGATCAGCTGGGGGAAAACTGGTCCTTCCTCACAGATAGCTTGAGAAGTATAGATCTAAAACCTAGGCCTCCTTATCATGTCAAATGCACTTTACCAGGGTGATTGAGAGCCATAAAAAGAATTTGGTATTGTCA